TAATATCGTGAAATAAGATTCATCAAATAAATGTTGATATTTTATTTGAATTGAAGAAAGGAAACAAAAGAAACATGATTCGTAATCGGTGATTACTTCTTGACTACAGAATCTTTCCTCTAAACGGGTTTTTTTTTTAAAATTACTAAATTAAATTTATTTTTTAAATAAATAATGGAGGATGATTGTTGTTCGAGATTAACCATCCTTTTTTTTTTAATCTACAAAATTATTATAATTAATATCTCGAGATTTCGAGAGAGAATTATCGAGAGACCGATTTATCTCGGGAGAACGCCCACGTTTTTCTGTCATGTCTTAACCTTTTTCCAAGAAGAAAAGAAAGAATTCGAAAAAAAAAAAAAAAAAGATAACTGCCGCTAAAAACGTTTACCCTACTAAGAAACTTCCTCCTCTTCAAATCTTTCGAGGTTTAAACCGACTCTCGAGCAAAGTACCTGTGCAGAAACTCGACTTATCCCTGCCACGGCGCATCCTTGATTATTCCCCAAGAATATCTAAATACACGAGTAACCTGAAAGTAGAAAGAAGATATTCAAGTAACAGTAGCAATGAAATTTTTCGAAATTTTCCATATAGATTCGAAACAATCGAAAATAATTAACCATATGAATACGTCATTTTATCGTCAACAATTTTTCCATATTTTTAATTGGAAATAAGAATACGAATTCTTTAAAAATAATTTCCAAATATACTCTTTTAATAAAGAAAGAAAAATCCAAGAAAAAAAATTGACGTTCGATAGAAAAAGACGAGGGAAGAAGCGAGGGGACAACGAGGAACCGGAAGTGGAGGGCGACGTAATATGAATAATAATAACAGGCGTTTGTAGTTTCTCGACTAAACTAAACTCTAAGGTCTTCCATTTCCCCGTGCCGCGTAATTCAATTCCCGATTTCTCCTCTGAACGTGTCTTGCGACCGAGGAAATGGAGAACTTTGATCCATGATTGTTCCCTTCCGGTTTGTCGGAGCAATAAATTCTCTCGATTCGTTTGTTTCGTTTAATTGCTCGACTCTGTGCTCTCTTTCGTTGGATAATTCCAATTCTTGATATATCGTAACTCTTGTACGATAAAATTTGTTATTATTTATTCGTCGATCGACGAACAAATTACGACGTAATAAACGAAAACTTAAAATCTGTAATCCTAAATGCAAATCAAATTTTCGGATATTTTCGTTATGCGCGAGTTTTGCACGCGTTTCGGTATAAATATTATCGTTGAAGAGGTTTGATTGCCGTTGGCTAATGGCGGCTACTGTTTCACCTAGCTTTTAACGAAATACGGTAGACCATGATTCGGATTATGTAATCCTAATTTTCCAATATTTTCAAAGCCACTACTTGATTGGCAGCGCAAAGTAATTACGGTCAATTTGCGAATCGATGCATTCGTAGAATTTTGATGACGCTTCGAAACTAAACGTTTCCCTCCATATATTTTGAACTGTAATTATATAATTTATCTTATTAAAACGAGAAAGAAGAAAAAAAAAAAAAAGTATATATATATATATACTCCAATACTATAAGAAATTATAGAAAATCTCTCCTTTGAAAAGGAGAAAAAGAGAAAGAATGTCGAGAATTATCTCGATATTGACTGGTTCAAATTATTTCTTGCAACTTCTACTTAATGCGAGCAGATTAAATTATCGCGCGTTACAAAAATCACATATCGCGTTCAAAGAGTTCAGATCCGATTCTCGATTCAGAATCGCTTTAAGAAACGAGGAATTGAAAACGCCCTGAAGAATCTCGCCAGCCCCTTGTACCTTGTTTCTCGCACGAGGAAAAGTCATATCGAAAAGATCCCTTTCGATACGAAAATTGGATTGTGTCAATGGTCACGGGATCTCTTCTTTTCCGGAGATCCTGCATTAGAAACGAGGAAGAAAATGAAATGAAAGAGGAAAGGAGGGGGACCTTTCTCTCTCTCTCTCTCTCTCTCTCTCTTCAAAGCTTTCAGAGGGAATATCCAGAGAGTTGTTTCCCGACGATTAAACAACCCGTTCCCGTGATTCAAGGCGGGAAAACTCCCCTCTTTGGGGAGAAATTTGTTCCGGCTCGTCACCCAGAGGAATACTTTCGAGAGGAACGACGCATCCACGCCTCGCGGAGGCTTTCTCAAGGAGGCGGCGACGGGCGAGCCGTCCTCAAAGACAATTAAAGAGGAGGCCTGGAGCTTCGTGAAAAAAAAAAAAAAAAAAAAAGAGAGAAAAGAGATCGAAGCCGTTGTTCGTTTGCGGACAAAGAGGAAAAAGGGCGACCCTCTCGAATGAATCACTCCTTTAAAATATCCCGATGGATCAAAGCGGCGACTTCTCCTTCGATCCAACCCTCCCCATCCCTGCTCCCCTTTCCACGGGAGTCGAATAATTAACCGAACCAGAGAGACAGTTCTTCTCCGTCTGCGGGGACGATTATCGATTCACGTATCCCCCTCGTATCTGCCGCCTTCGACTCGAAAACGATTGACGCGTCGTGGAACAAGTTCGAGCTCGATATTTGAATACCGAGATATATGCATAGCTGTCGTGCGCAAAGATTTTTAGAATTAGTCCTCCAGTTATTTTCCAATATCGACGATCTTTCCGACTCGAGTTACGTGAGCTTTGATATTTTTTTCTTTTCGACGAAACTTTCTACAACTTTTTCGAAAATCTCAGGCTTTATATTTTCGAGCTAGACTTTTAAACGTATATATATGTATCGTGCACGTAACTTTGCGATAGAATAAGGGCGCATTTTGCCGGAATAATTCTACTAATGCACTCTCTACTAAGGCTTCGAGTATAGGTCACGCAGAAGGTGCGGGAAACAGGATTTCTCCTCCACGATTCTGGTAAAAATCTACTAAAGCTCCATCCACTGAAAAAAAAGGAAAAGCACAAATTTACAATAAAACTCTATCCTATTTATCGATCTCTTTCCCCGTTACAACAATATATATGACTCAATCTCTCGAGCTTCCCTCAAAGGAACCAGTCCTTCCACCCATAATTCTAATCAGCCTAATCACTTTCAAACGAACCGTTCAAACGGCGACCGAGCTGATCGAGAAGCGAAGGTTAACTTCAATCAAACGAGGCTCGTTATCGACGACGATCTAATCTCTCGAATAACGAAATCAAATCGATGCTCCGAATCGATCCACGAAACAGCGATTTTGGAACAAGGGGAAATGGCGAGTTATTCGCCATTGTCGATTTTCCAGACAGATCCTAACCATTCGCTCTAGGTGGCCGCCGATTAATTCTGTTCTGAGGCATCAATCTGTTTAGAGGGATCGTTGGATCGCTTGTACGCGCAATTCGATCGTTGTAGCATTCTCGTGCTGGCGAATTGCATAGATAAGTGGATCGGCGAGTGATCGTATCGCGCCCCATTCCCGAGCTTTTAAGGGAGATGGAAATCGTAGGGATTCGTGGAACGCTCGATTCGGGCACCATTGCTCAAAAATGGACGTGCGAGCGGTTACGGAGAATACCACGATTCCAGCGACCTGCTCGGCTGGAATTCAGCGGAATTCAACGCGCGATCGATTTTTCGACGCCCTTTTGATCGTTCCGCTTTTCTCGCAATCTCTAAACAATTTTATCCGCTTCGAATCCGTGACGTATAACACGATGACTCTTGCATCTGTGATAATAAATTTTTACTCTTGTTTTAAAAATTACGAGCGTGTAGAAGCACAACACGATCACTCGTGTCATCGATTTTTCAACGTTCTTTTCATCGTTGCGCTTTTCTCGCAATGTCTACTCTTGCTCTAAACAATTTTATCCATTTTGAATTCGTGATGTATAATACGATGACTCTTGTGATAATAAATTTACACTCTTGTTTTAAAAATTATTTTAAATGACGTGTGTAGAAGCACAGCCTGATCACTCGTGTCATCGATTTTTCAACGTTCTTTTAATCGTTGCGCTTTTCTCGCAATCTCTACTCTAAACAATTTTATCCACTTCGAATCCGTGACGATGCGTAGAAACGTATAACACGATGACTCTTGTGATAATAAATTTACATTTTCGTTTTAAAAATTATTTTAAATGACGTGTGTAGAAGCACAGCGTGATCATCGTGTCATCGATTTTTCAATCTCTACTCTTGCTCTAAACAATTTTATCCACTTTGAATCCGTGACGTATAACACGATGACTCTTGCATCTGTGATAATAAATTTTTACTCTTGCTTTAAAAATTACGAGCCACGCGTGTAGAAGCACAGCGTGATCACTCGATTTTGATCGTTGCGCTTTTCTCGCAATCTCTACTCTAAACAATTTTATCTACTTCGAATCCGCGACGTATAATACGATGACTCTTGTACATGTGATAATAAATTTACACTTTTGCTTTAAAAATTACTAGCCACGTGTGTAAAAGCACAACACGATTATTGGTGTCATCGATTTTGTCAACGTCCTTTTGATCATTGCGCTTATCTCCCAATTTCTACTCTTGCTCTAAACAATTCTATCCACTTTGAATTCGTGACGTTACACTGTTAGGAGCATATAATACGAGTATTCATGAACCTGTGATAATAAATTTATACTCTTGAAAATTGTATCTATTTACGAGCTACGTATGTAGAAGCACAACACGATGACATATACGTGTGATCAATTTTTCAACGTCCTTTCGATCGTTGCGCTTTTCTCGCAATTTCTATTCTTGCTCTAAACAATTTTATCCACTTTAAATCCGTGACATACGCATAATAAGCGTAATAACATAATTCCTATAAGCGTGATAATAAATTTATACTCTTGTTTTAAAAATTACGACCCACGTATATAAAAGCACAGCATGATCACTCGTATACGATCGTATGATCGATCGATTTTTCTTTATTTTGTATTCTTTATTCTAAAAAAAAATTTGTGCATATCATAATTTTGCTGCTCGTTATATTTCACTTTTCCTCCACCTTAAAACGAGATTTGAACGTGTTTTTGCAGGATGCCTAACGAGAACGCGCCAGTGTGCGGGTGCGGGGTGGTGGTCGATCTGCCGAAATCGCGAAATGGCGCGCTGTCCTCGAGACGGCTCACGATCAGAATACCCAAGTCGAAGGGTGGGAAATCGGACGGGCGGGCTGCCAAGAAGCAGCAGCAGCAGGACGACGCTCGTGGGAAGAGCAGAACTTCCGAAACGGGAAGTTGCAGCTCGGTGACGGAGCAAGCCAGACCGGTTACGAAAAGCAGCAAACACGAGAAGCGTTTGAATCACTCGAGGAGGACCCGAAGCGCGGACAGGGCGGAGTCGCACTACACTTATATAGGTCGGTAAAAATTTAAAAATACCTTTCAACGAATGAGAACAAACGTGAATTTCGCGATCCCCAAGATTTCGAATCGTACGAATTATTCTCGCTCCAACTATTGTCATTCAATTCCTATTTTTATTGAATCAATTATTGGATTCACGATTTAAAAAAAAAAGGAAAAAAGAATTCATCGCAGATCAGAATTTTATCAATGATCGATATCCAATGTTAATTTCCAGTCTTTTGGAAATATATTTCGTTACGATACTCTTTTAAGACGCTACTTGTGTCTTGAAAGAAAAGATTCTAATTCTAAATCGAACGAGAGACCCTTCCTCGTCCGCTACGCAGATGATAATAAACTATCGTTTCATTAAAAAAAAAAAAGAAAAAAAAGGGAAACAATTGTAATCAAAAATTCATGGGCAAAATTCATCGAACAAAGAGAATTTATCAAAAAGTTTTCTCCAAGGTGGAAATCGTATCTATCTGGCACACTCGCCAGGACAATGCCGCGATTCTGTAACCCGATATAGGGGGAGGGCCATTCTTCCGCCGATTCTTCTTCTTCCAACTTTAAATTTCCCCTCCCAAGTTCAAAAACTTTTGAAACTTTCTTTTCGGATCGTTCCCGTTTTCAGAGTCCGGCTCGAGCATCCTTGGCGGTGGAATAAGGGAGAACGCTATACCGGAGGCGTTGTACGCCACCATTCCAGACACGGCGAACGCGACCGCAAACGAAAGCGGAAATGGTCAATTAAACGCGCAAAGCAGGCCGGTTTACGCCATCCCCTCTATGGTATCGCCACCGCCCACCTACGACGTGGCCATCTCGAAAACATGGCAGGTAAGGGATTATTATTATTAATCTTCTTCGAGATCGGTTTCGAAAGAAATAACGAAAGTGTAATTAATTTTTAAGTGGTATTGCTTCGAATGGGATGAGAGTGGAAAGATGTATATATGTAATACGCTTTCCTTCGTTATTCGTAATTATTAAAAATTAAAATTGCGAGGGTAAATCGGTAAGAGGGAAAAATTCATAATTTTATTTTTCAAACTTTTCGTTCGTTTTAAACGAACGTAATGTATAATAAATTGACTGTTGTTGGCAAAAATCAACGCTGATGAATCATCAATTTACGTCGCGGGTTAATTCCATTCGAAGTTGTTGCACGGATAAATCCTTTTATTTATTTATTCATTTATTTATTTCACGTAATCCTACAACATCGAATAAAAAAATCGTTCGTCGAAATATTATCGATTTCAAATAAGTTTCCCTCGAATATCGCTTAAACTCTTTCGAAGCATTTTTTTTTTTTTTTTGTTAAAAAATCGCGTCGTACATTTCCAAAATCCTCTTTGATCAAAACTTGTTACCTTGTTAACCCGACTCCCCTTACTTACTCTCTTATTTCACTCTCTCTCTCTCTCTCTCTCGACGTTTTCGAAGCTATATAAAGGAACAAGAATAATGGTGGCTTGCGGTCACCGACGTTGTCACGAAATTGAACAGCGAACGATGTATCGATGTATCGATGTGGCGTGGTTGCACGCGATGAAATTAGAGATCGTCCGTCCGTTCGAGGAGATTTAACCTTCGAGTAGTAATGAACTGTCCCGGTCAGACATCCCGGATAGAATCGAAATCCTGGACCAACCGCGGTTGTCAAAGCTTTTCGTACACCCGACAATCGACCCGATCGATCCTTGTGTGTAACGGGGATCCCCTCCCCTGTCGTGTAAACGAGCCGACGACGTTCCGTTAATTACACGACGCTCGAGTTGCTGATTGGACGCGAGGAATATTTCTCATAGACGTTTACGAACCAAATTCACGAGACCCATTCGTTTTCGATCTCGTGTTTAAAACGACCTGTCCCTTATCCCTCAATATTTTTCTTCCTTTCTTCCTTTTTTTTTAACAATTATAATTATTAACTCGTGATATAAATATTATAACGAAGATATAGATTCCTCATTTTTTTAAATATATATATATTTTTTTTTTAACGAACCAAATTCATCCGTTTTCGATCTCGTGTGGGATTAAAACGACCTATCGCAGATCTGTCCCTTATCCTTCCACGATCTCAATATTTCTCAAATATTTCTTTTCCTTTCTTTTTTCTTTTTTAACAATTATAATTATTAACTCATGATATAAATATTACAACGAAGATATAGTCATTTTTTTAAATATATATATATTTTTTTTAACGAACCAAATTCACGAGACCCATCCGTTTTCGATCTCGTGTGGGATTAAAACGACCTGTCGCAGACCTGTCCCTTATCCCTCCACGATCTCAATATTTCTCTTCCTTTCTTCCTTCTTTTTTAACAATTATAATTATTAACTCGTGATATAAATATTACAACGAAAATATAAATTCGTCATTTGTTTAAATATATATATATTTTTTTTAACGAACCAAATTCACGAGACCCATCCGTTTTCGATCTCGTGTGGGATTAAAACGACCTGTCCCTTATCCCTTCACGATCTCAATATTTCTCTTTCTTTCTTTCTTCTTTTTTAACAATTATAATTATTAACTCGTGATATAAATATTACAACGAAGATATAGATTCCTCATTTTTTTAAATATATATATATTTTTTTTTAACGATAGCGAGGAGAACAAAATAGAAAAAAAAAGGGGGAAGAAGCGAAAAAGCTCGAGTTTTAATCCCGCGGAGGAATTATACATTCGCGAGCGGTGTGGGAATGTAATCCAGTGACAGTGAAATTAATGCTTGAATATTCAAAACTCTCGATCCACTCCGCTCTGGCTCGAATCTTGTTTGCTGAATATTCGATTATTCGAATAAACCAATCCTCCTCGTTCCGAAACCGAGCTCTTGATAACAACTGGGCTCCGATATAAAATACTCGGATCGAAAAAGAAGGGGGAAAAGAAATTTCTCTCGTAACGATCGCGGGATCGTTCACGGATCACGATTTCTCTGAGGGAGGAAAAGGAGAGGGGAAGAGAAAGGGGAGGGTCGCGCAGGAATGGGAGAAGGAGGCAGGCAAATTGTTCAGAGCTCGCTCCTTGACTCGAGAACCATTCGTTCAATTTTCCGCCAGGGCCATTTCATCGACCGCATAGTTTCGAGGCGCCGGCCGACACATAAATTTTCGTTGCGGAAAAACAGCCCCATGCCGACCCACTTCAAACTCCCGACAACCGACGCCACCAGACACCGCCGCGTGCGTTTCGAATTCGTGCTCATTCTTCTATTTCTCGATTCCGTTTTCCATTTTCGGTCTCTCCTCCGTTTTTTACGACTTCCGACTCGAGTCGGGGTCAAAATTGCTCCAACGGCTAGCGTCGAGGGGGATGAAGATCGTCATTAGGATGACGTTAAAAAGGAGTCTATAGAAACGAGGGGAGGAGAAATTGAGTTGAGACGTGTCACAAGTTTGAAATAATATGGATGAATGCAATGATAATTGCGATGGAAATAAGATTGAATACAATTTTTGCACGACTCGTGTTGTGTTAAGAAAAATAAGGATGTAAGGCGTTAAAAAGGAGTTCGTACGTGTCAAACGTTTGAAATAATAGCGATGATCGGTGTGCAAGAAAAATAAAAAAAAGAATGGAATGTGTTGGATTGGAAGTGCATCATGGTACAGGAAGAAGTACAGTGAAAGTAACTTGGAGAGTTATACGTACCCTGAAGAAAGAAATCATCGTGGTATAATTTAACTGTTGAGTAACATTCTTGTGTTCAACGCGTTCGATTTTCAATCATGAAATTTTTCTTTCGAATGAATTCCAAAGAAGTTTGTCGTTGCTTGCTTCCTGCAAATTTGATTTTTAAAAATTATTAACGGTTATAATAAATCACTTACTAATTTAATTTCTTCCCTTTCCCGAACGTTGAAATTAGAAAAATAACTTTCTCCGGAATTTTCCTTTGCAACAATCCCACGCTTTCTAGTAATAGTTTTCAAAGCGAGCAAGAGAGAGAGAGAGAGAAAAATAATTCCAATTTCCAATCAAACATTCTCAGGATAACAACAAATTCTCCCTTTCGCAATAATTTCATTAATTATCAAATCACGAAATAACTTGCCAACTTGCTACGGCCTTCCTCTTTCGACTCTTCCTCGATAGAGATATTTAACCAATTAAACGGGAACAATGCGAATAATCAACGACGATAAATCCACTCTCCCGTTATCCTCGTTAACGAGAAATAATAATAACAATAATAATAATAACACGATCGATGGAAAACAAAACCGAAAAAAAAGAAACCCCCTCTCTCCCCTCTCATCGAAGAAAAAAAATCTCCCCCGTTGAAAGGGAAGATCAATCAAGAAAAAAAGAATAAATGAAATCTTTCCAGACCGGTCTTCCGCCCACCTACGAGGAATACTTGTGCCACAAGTACGCCATGATCTCTCGTTCCCATACACCACCGCCGCCATGGTCGGACTCCACCACGTCGACAGCCACGACGACACCAACCGCGCCCACAGTTCAAACTCGCCGCGAATTGTTGGCAAGTCAACCAGAGCTGAGGGAATACCTGGCGCAATTGTCGCTCTCTCAGAACAACGACAGGCCGGCCGGCCATCACCACCATCACCACCACAACCAGGGAACCGTGCTCAGAGACAGCAGCTATCTCTCGAATCAGCAAGCCTCGAGGGAGCAAGCGAGGACGCAGCAACGTCCACGAGCCATGCCTCCCAGGTGAGTTTTCCAAGTTCGAGGAAGGGAGAGGGAATAATTGAGACGACCGTGTTGTTTGTGACCAAGTCGTGTCGTTTACGACACTCTCGAGAACATTCGATTAGATTTGAAATGCGTTCCCCTTTTTTTCCCCCCGATTTCAATCGAATTCCATTTCACAACAGATGGATATAATCTTCTCGTACGTGGCTCTTTTCAGATTTCTTCTTCTTTTAAATGAATAGGTTTATTTGTAATAGTTTTTCAAATTCCTTTGGAATAGAAGTTAAAGAGGTTTGTAAATAATTATATATATTTATTGCAGTCTTGTTCCGAGCTTCTCTCGAACTTATTCAATTATCTTTCGATTCGTCGATCCTCTGATATTTAATTTCATTTCTAAATATATTCCATTTATAAACCGCGTGACAACGGGTTTAAAACATTTACACAAATGTATGTAAATCTCCCGATTTCAGATCCCAGAGCGAGAGCCGCGTGCAGCAGCAGAGAATCGCGACCATGTACGAGGACGGCGCGTTCTGCATGGAAACGACCGCGCTGCAATCGGCGTTCGAGAACGGGATAGCTTTGTGCAGCCTGATGTAATCGGCAAGCCCACCAATATCCCAGTGAGGGGGAGGAAGGATGATCCCAGGAACGAAATCTTTTTTTCTTTTTTTTCCCCTCGTTTATTCCCCACCGTTCGAAGAAGAAGAAGAAGAAGAAGAAGAAGAATTTCATCTGGATGGATGCAACGAAGCGAAGCCCAATGTCGAAGTTCTTCCCCCGACAAATCCCTTTCGTATCGATCTTTCCCTTTCCTCTTAACCCCTCTTCTTATCTTCTTATCCCTATCTTCATCGATGGAGATGGAATCGAAAAAGTTTGCGAACGATTAATTAATTACTTTGTTCGTACACAGAAGGATCCGTGTGGGACGACCAGAGAGGGATTTCGCCAATTTTTCAAGCTAATTTTAGTCGGGCAAAGCCGTCGCGGGTGTTCACGATCTACGCTCTGGATAACGAACTTTGTCTCGAGGAATATCTTGTGAACGATTCTTTTAATACAGATTGGGATAAATAATCGATTAAATTAAACGCAGAAAGGTTTCTCTCCCCTGTCTCTAGTGGTTTTATTTATCAAGAGCAAAGATCTACGCTCTGGACTTTGCCTCGAGCGATGGTCGAATCGATCTTGTGAACGATTCTTTTAATACAGATTGGGATAAATAATCGATTAAATTAAACGCAGAAAGGTTTCTCTCCCCTGTCTCTAGTGGGTTTATTTATCAAGAGTTTCTCGAGCAAACGATATATAATATAGATAGATTTTCCACTGCATCTCGTTTCCAATAACCTTTGAAATTCTTCTTCCACGAGGCAGCTATCATTCGCACGAATCTTTCCTCGAGTTATAGCCGAGGCATTGTCCTCGAATGGTTGATAACCGTTGGTTAATTCAATTCGTGCGAGGGATCGCACGAGTCGGGAGGAGTGGCAATTCCATTCGTTGCTCGAGCATCGAGCAATGGAATGTTTGAGGATAACTCGGTTTCGACGAGTTCATCTTCGTTCCGCGTAGAAACGAAATATTTCGCCATTGCCTTCTGGTCGATTCGCGCCTAACGGAGAGAATAACCAAGTTTGAAGTTTCTGAATTTAATCTTGTTATCTCGATGACTTTTGATCACTTCGATTTTCTATTATATTGACGCGATATTTAATTTCTTTTACATATAAACTCGAGATATCTTCGGTTCCATTTATAATCGTTTTATCGAGTAAAACATTGATATTCTTCTACGATTTATACGATAATATTTATATACTTATTTTTCATTTATATTTTTGCGATTTATTTTAATTTTCGAAGAGACGAAATTCCACGTATCCACGCCAAACGTTTATCGTTAATTTCTCGAGTGTCTGATACGCAATTGTATATATATAGGTTTGATCAGGAATTGGACGAAGGGGGAAGCAATGAGAAACGGAGAAAGATTCAGTGCAGGCCTAATTTTGAAGCGAATAGAATAGTTTCTCCTTTTTATTTCAACCGGTTTCCTCGATAGAATTCTATTTTTTCTACGATTTTTACGTTTCTTGTTTCCAACCAACCAGTCCAGATTTGTACGAATTTGTCGAGCGATTCGAACGGCACTACGGTCGTTCTGCCATTCCATCATCCGATGCGATTGTTTATGCAAATGGGCTTACGATTTCGCATTTAGAACGACACGTGTACGACAATTGTGAACGCTATGGATTTTTGTATAGCTCGATATTGGTTTCCATTACGATATTATACACGATGTCTGCTAATTCACGAGAGAAATAGAGTTAGAGAGATTATTTTATAGAGATAAGAGGGAAATAATTGAGGTATTCGCCTGTTTTTTCAGATGTATAAATATTTAATCAAACATTGAATTGAATTACGATGTTATTGGAATAGTAATTTTAAATATTTTTTTTTTTTTTTTCTTATTTCGAATTGTCGAAAATCTTCTCGATTCCACTCGCGTTCAAGGGACACCTCGTGCATATTTATATATCCAGTGATCATCGCTTCTATTCATTCGCGGCGAGAGTTCTGTTTCCAGACACGATATTTCCTTACGCACGAAGGCACCATCTATTCTGCAAGCTTTGCGAGGGAAATCATGGAAGCCGATTCAATGAAACATCGAAGAAATAACTTGTATCTCCTCGTATCCCTTCGAAATGGAATTCATTCCTGATTTCCATCTGCGCTGTTTTATCGATAAAAGAGAGAAAAACATTGTGCTCGGTACACAACGTGTACTATAGATAAGTTTTCGTTCCAATTTTTCTCTTCTTTCAATTGGTAAAAAAGAAAAATCCATCTCGTTTTTTTCAGTTTTGAAAAATTTCATTTCCATCCTCGATGTTCGTAGATCGTCACAGTTATCGTAATTTATCGTCGATTTCAACGATAACGAGAGAACATTAAAAATTTCTATAGTTAATTTCTGTATAGTGTCGATCTTTACGTGTCCTCTTGTACATACAACACAGTATAGATGGTATTAATAAAGACGTGTCGTTGGTTCTCACGTTTAATTTCACAAGTTCGCAAGTTCAAGTTACTTTCGAGTGTGATACGCGAATAAACCGTTCTTCGTTCAAACAGTTTCAGTTTTCTCTCGAGATGGAAAGTATTTCAACTTAATACTCCTGTAACAATACTCAAACGTTTCCTCGAAACGATTCTCCGCGAATTCTCTATGAAACGGATAAAAAAGATGGAGGCGTCGAAATAAAATTTCGATCAATTTTCGATTTCAACTCGATTATCCGAAAGAGCGCGTAAAAAAATTATCTCGATCGTTGATTCTTGCAGACCAGCAATATATCGCCAAACAATCTTCCAACTCGTCGAAAGAACAAATTATTATCGCATTGTAGCTTAACAATAATTCACCGATCGAATAAAACGATACACCGCGGTTACGAATAAAACTTTCGATTCAAACTCGAAAGAGAGAGAGAGAGAGACTCGAGTCGTTCGCCGTTAAAAAAAAAAAAAAAGAAACACGCGATTCTCTCGATATCCACTAATCATCCACCGGTGATTAATTGTAATTTAAAAATCCTCGCTAGCCTCGTAATCATCGTGAATAATTCGCGATTCGCGTGGTGGTGAATAACGCGATGAATTAATTAATCGTGTAAAGTTATCGAGCCACTCGACGTACCGTATTAGAGCCTTAGGAACGTAATTCCGTAATTAAGTAACGTAACGAACACTAGCTCTAGGCGCTACGAGCCTACGAATCTAATCTTGTCCTAACGGCATACAAAGTAAACGTAGCGTGTAAATTGAAAGTCGGTGCAAAGAGGGAGGGGGGAGGTTGGAAAAATTCGCCATGTGTCGAATTTATTCGTCGCGTTATGACTCGACACGACGACGTCCCCTCGTAGAAAACGCCGACTTTATTCCGTGTAATTTGAATAGCAACGACAGGCGGTTCGTAATTTGTGTCTGTCGGTTCGTAGAGTTTAAGAATCTACTTTACCCTTCGAGTGCGAGCGATTTCGCCTCGAGGATACGTATAATCGTATAAATTGTAAATATATATATTCGGGCGGGGAACTCCATTCTCCGGAATTCTGTCTTTAAAAATTTTCCGTTCCAAGAGTTTTTCCGGGATTTTTCTTTTTTTTTTCTTTTCTTTCCTCGTCGTCGGAAATCTGAAAATTAGAAAAATTAATTAAAAACGAAAGAAAAAATAATAATAATGATAAACAATCTCGCGATTGAAAATTTAAAGACAGTATTATCCCGGGGATAATGCCTCGTGTAGATTTAAATTAGGACGAGGATGTAAGGATGTAAGATAGTCGTTAAGAACTTCGTAAATCGTTATTATTACACTGTACATAACAATGATTATTACTCATCGTCCCGTGAGCTGAATATCCAACTCTACACTCTACATACTCGCGAAGCGATACGAAAAAAATATTGTATTTTCGCATCGAGCGAGCAAGCGTCATGAAAAAATGCATTAAAATTTCAAAATCTTTCCAACGGATTGCACGAAGTTTAAGTTCGATTGTACGTAATTAAATGGTGCGAAAACAACGTATGTCGATCAATCACGATTCTCCTATCCTTAATATCTTAAATAAGAGGAGAGCAACAAGAGTATCGTTCCCTCCTTGTTACTCATCAAAATTCAAATACAAATTTCGTTTCACGATGATGATACCCCTCTCATTGGTTATCCAGATACTTTCGAGCGCCCACGACTCTTCTGCCATCTACGCGGATGGCCACGAAATTATCCAAACGCCGCGAGAATAACTCGAATAATTATCGCGGAACATAATGAACGAAACCGTCATCGTTATCGAGGCGATTCATCCATTCATTCAACGACGAAAAATCGTCAAATCATTTTCGCGTGTAAAAAATTAACGGGGATGATAATACACGTGTCGTCGATTCACCCCCTGCCTGGCCGCAATAAGCGAATAAATACGTTCGAAGCGCCCTCGAAAATGTCGATCAGGGTTGGCCTCGGTCTCGTGGAAACATTTTACGGAGGGGGATCGAATAGGATGAGCTTCGAGCAGGACGAGCTTCGAGTCGAAACGAAATCGTGATTCTCTGTTGATTTGGAGAAAGAAAAAGGAAGGGGGAAAGGGGGGGGGGATTTAAATTCAGTCGCGTAGATTAGAAATTCGTGGTCCGCTTCTTCCGTTCGAAAACGCTTCTAACGTTGGCTGGTATTGATCCTGAAACACGATTGGAACACGAATCTTTTAAAATTCAACTTCGATTTATGTCGATTGATTCAATCCGAATACGGATATATCGAGGAGGTTTGTAATCGGTGTAGATTATATTCGTGTGATTTTATGAATTTGTATTATTGAATTTTAACTGGAAACAAAGATCGAATTTTTCGTCCCCGAATTTTCTTCGTTCCATTCTTAAATAATTTTTAAAATGCGTTAATATTCGTTAATAAATTTCACGAGTTCGAAGGTTTAATCTCGTCCAATTTTACGCGTGTGATTCTCCTGCTCGCTGTCGAGTACTCCTCTCAACCAGTTTCATCCCTCTTTCGAGTTGCTTCCGCGAGACTCGAGATCCTCGACTTCCAGCGGACCTGACGAATTCGCTGAGCCCAACCCCAACCAACCACTTGATCGCGAGTTTCAACTAAATAATAAGAGTGCTTCGTTACGTCGCAGCGACAGGAAAGTATCACCTGTACGTCTAAGCGCACACTATCGTTCTACGCGATAAGAGATAATAAATGTAAAAAGAAAAAAAAAAGAAAGAAAAAAAAAGAAAAAGAAAAAAAATATGTAATAATGATGTTTTACGAAAACGAGATATTTATTTCTATTAGAGCATCGTGGCTTCCAGCGTAATTAATCGCAGGGGGGAATGGAACCCAGGACTGCCAAAGAGCGAGAAACTTCTAAAATGCATAGGTTCTCCCGCACGAGATTAATTCGTGATCAATTTCCGTGTTTTCGACTTTCGTTTCAACGATCCATCTCCCGTCTTCTCTCGTCTTGCGTCATTAAATATCACGTTCTCTTCCGTTTCTGATAATTTATTTCGAACGATTCTTCGATTTCCGGTATCCATGCGGATGGATATTTTCTTCCGTATTGTCTATTTACTTGTTAAAAAAAAAAAATACGTTACCTTCCTCTTGAATAATTGACGATATCGTAACGACAATGAGGGCATCCTCCTTGGATTGCGAATATAATTTATTTCGATTGATATTGAATCGAAAGCGAAATGGAGAGGAAGATAAATCGTGAAACGAAGGTATGAGCGTAAACGAAACATCGCGTTGCGGACAAGCGTTTCAAATATTGAGAAATTAAGAAAATAAAAAGATGTAGCGTTGTAAATGAGCGGTTAAGAAGATAAAACGATGTAACAAAAATAAAAATGAAAAAAAAAAAAAAAAAGAAGAGAATCTACGATGGTATCTTATGTAGACGCATTATTATACTCCGATATAGAAATATTTTTCTCATCATGGTGTATACCTCCGCTACTAATTCCCAATGAATGTTGATCTATCTCCTGCCCGAGATCGAGGACGCGCGATAGATGTAACTACCACTTAAACATTTCGAACGTGAGACGAAGGCGGGGAGAAAAGCAACGTTCGTGAGCGAAGGACAGGAGGAAAATAAAAACAAAAATAAAAAAGATAAGAAACTAAGCGCATCGTTAATATCGTTCTGTCGGTACCGCGCTCGAACGAGAAACTAAACAAGCTGAAAACCGCTATGTCGTATTGTATGTTGTGTATATTATGAATGTTTAGAGGACCAAGAAATATAATGTACCGGTGTAAAAAAAAAAGTGTGATTATCTTTTATTTCCCTTTCTCTTCCTCTTCGTACTTTTTTCTCTCCGTATATTATGAACATAGGATTCATAAATTATAACCCAACCTATTCTCAAGTTTCGATTAGATTTGTTTTTGAGATATTTATATTTGCTACGAAAAGAGTGACAGATACATTTGAGAATGTAAAAACTTTTTTTTGAAGAATTGTAAAAAGTAGAAATTAGATTGATTTTCAATCATGTAATCGCAGTCTTGCGTCGTATGTACAAAATAATTCATAAATATATGTCTATACTTTAGAAAGTGTATGTCTACAGATTGATCTTATTATTAGATATGCAAAAGAGTTTTGATACTTGGAAAGTTTTTTTTTTTTCATTAATGAATTATTCCGCATTATAATAGAATGTAATGGGATACGTCTACTTTTAACCGATACATATAGAAAATTGAGGAGCGGAGACTTTTAACGTGGTGAATGTGGAGAAAAGGTAAGTTGGAACGGTGTAAAATGATCACAAAGGCGTGACTTACATATCTTAGGTTGAGATCGCAGACACGGTGTCTAATTTCACGGTGTCTAATTAAAGAATGGAACACTTCTCGCAATAACCCGGACAGAAATGTATTTACACTCAATTGGGACAATGATTCATAACGACATTAAAAATATAATTGCGAGGAAATATCGAAGTTAGAGAAAAAAGTATATATATTAAGAAATGAAGGAAAATTGAAGGAAGATGTAAGGAAATTTTAAGTAAAGAAAAAAATTGGATCACGAATGAAGCGATGTGACTTATGCAAGGATAAAATAATTCTTCCAAAAAAAACTTCCAAAAAGATTTTTCGATGAAATTTTGTGGACAGATGAGAAAGCAAAAAAGGAAGAAATAAATTAAACATATAAGAATTCACAAAATGCAACAAAAAAAAATAGGATGGAAATAAAATTCGTACAAAATATGGACGAAGAAGACAAATTAATTATCATACAGACAGAATAATTTATTAGCATACTATTTTCTAAACATTCCTCGATATCATCTTTCACTCATTCAATAATCGATTGAATTTTGAAATCAACGAGAGACCTAATAGAGATATCTATGTTTACAATTACCAAGAAAAAATTGACACATCATCAATAATGTCGCACAAATTTTATTTCGAATTATTATTCGTATTATAGTTAATATTCCATAATTCTAAAAAGAGATACAGGACGATGCAACAGTTTGACGACGAGGAATAATTAAATTTCTCGTTATCGTATCCGCGTTAAAATTAGGAATAAAGATCGCCATAATTAAGTATGAATCCCGCGTTTTCTCTCGATTGTTGCACCGATTAATCGGGGATATATTGGCCCTCTATTAGCGGTTCGCCAACGGAATGATAATCAATAGCCGATTCGTTATCGCCATTTCAATTCCACTTTGAATCATGCGCCCGATTTGGGGCCGATAAATCGTTCGTGAGAGAGAAAGTGTCTTAATTGTCGATCTCTATTTTTCCACGTGTTTGAATGCACGACGTATCGTGATTTGGAGAAATGATTGATGACTCAACATGCTACGTTAATTCGCATGTAATATTTTTGTTCTTGAGCTTGAGATATGTACGTTCGATTAAACATTTCGTAACATGCAAAATATAAATATTATGATGCGAGAGAAAAATGAAATGAAGAGAATAAAAAAATAATTTAAAACATTACAAATTCCATTATCAAAAAAAAAAAAAAATGTCACGTTTTTCAATCGAATGTGAATGAAATTGCAAGTATCGATGTCATCTGTGATCGACGTATTAAATTTTCTACATTCTAAATAAATTCGCGATAAATAGTAAATATGAATAGCTAAAATGCGATAAAGTATAGTATAACGATATGAAAAATATTTCAACTTCAAATATCAATTCGCGTATAATTAATATAAATAATTCGCGAAATAAAAAAAAAATACAAGAAATATCAAACAATAAAATATCTCGGAGAAACTAAAGTTCTAAAATTCTGATTTGTATGTATGCAAAATGCGAAATTATCATCGAATGTTTAAATATTATTACTATTAATATTATAACACACTTTCTTCTCAAAATATCGATTTCGTGATGAATGAATTTTTATGAGAATAGAAATCTGTGTCACAATTATCATGCTTACTTTCATCTTCAGATTAAATATATCGGATTATAATATCCATTTAAATGAAACATTTCTCGTTTCTTATCGATTAAAAAAAAAAAAAAAAAAAAAATGCCCAAAAGAAGAAGGAACTTGAAAAACTTAATATAGTATTCATTTGATGCACAAAAAGGACGGCAACGATAAAATCCTTCGTAAAACTAAAACTTCGTATCACCTTTTAAAACTTTAATTTGAATTTCGATCCCCTCCCCTATTTCTAATCGATAATTAGATCCACATCGTCACAATTAATTAAACTCAATGGCCAATTCTACTCGATTAACGAAATTCAGATCGAATTCAATTTAAAATCATCTTCGAATATCGAGATCGCGATACACATTTAATATAAATCAATTATAAAATATATTATATAAAAAAAGTTTCTTTCGTTTCGTATACCCAAACATGGATATTAAGATGCAGAAATTTTTAGGCCATTCGGTACACGAAAGATCCTCTCCTCAACCGGAAGTTCACCGATGAGGTACCTCTTTAAGCTGTGAATCGCTGCGGACGAATGTCCAGTGCCAATGAAGGCCAAGGTCGCATCTCTGCCAGCGTATTCGAGTATCACGTCAGATCCACCGGGATGGCTTTTCAAGAAATCCGTGCAATCGTACACAAAATCTTGAATCACGATCCAACAACTGTCGACGGTATCGTGCCAGGCAACTTCGTTCAAATTGATCGTCCTCAAATTCTTTATCAAATTCTCTTCATCGTCGAGCGATTCTTCGTCATCGCCCTCCAATATTAGCCTCGATTTCTCTGACGACTCTTCCTTCTCGATGATACTCCGTTCCTCCAACTCGAGAAAATCTTCTTGTTGGGGCTTCGCCTCCAGATCCATCGATCGAAAGGATACGCTGAGCAGATCCATGCTTCTGCTTGTGATTTTCCTACTTCTGAAAGAAGAAAATATCGATCGACGAAAACAAATTATAATGAATTGCGAAATTAATGTGTTACATCACTGTAGAAATAGCTGATAAATCAGCTGATGTAATATATTTGATTTTAGAAAGAAAGAAGGAAAAAAAAAAAGAAAAAGATTATCATTCAAATAACACATGCAATTCTTGAAATATGAATAAACAGAAAGTTAACGCGGAAAAAGATAAAGCGAGAGAAATTGTTCTCGTAAGATAATAAATTAAATCGATTTCACGTCGCCATTTGCTTCCATCGATATCGCAACTACGCTCATCTTGATCAATTACCGTTAATTATACGTTCAAATGAATTGGAAAAGAGAAAAATTTGGTTTTCGAGATTAAAGAGGACCTGTGTTTCTTCGATAAAATCCAAAAGCGAACTGTCATTCCAAGAATCGTGAAAATATAATAAATTTTATCGGATTCGGAGGTTATCGAATTCTCGCTTCTTTAACAGGTTTATACGACAAAAATTTTATATGTGTATTCGTACTCGCGAAATCGTCGGATCGTCGACGCGAAAATATGTTAGGAAATTTTTTTTAGGATGATATCGAGATTGATTTGGAACGAATTCGATCGAATTAATGAACAAAGTTCGAGACAAATTTGAGAAAATTAAACGGATTCTCGCGAACGAAAACGAGATAATAATAGATGAAAGAACGAATAAGATTGATAAAACGGTACTCGTAATCAAATTAATGTCTAAAATTAAAGCAAAATTTTATCACTCGAGATAGAAATATTCGACGTTCGCTCGATGTAATTTCCATCGAGCAGTTTTATAATATACTATCATTCTTTAAATATTGCACGAACTTTTCCAAATTCGCGATTGAAAAACGCGAGATAGTTTACTAGTTATTAGTTTCAAAAACGTGATATATTGATAATAAGAATGATTACTTTTGTTCTTCCTTCCAATTATCTTGCATTTTTCTTCACTATCTGCGCGACGAACTTTTCATCGAAGAACTTATACACGGTACTGAAGCACCGTCGAGAAATCAATTCTCCCCTAGGTGAAAGGAAATCTAATTCTATTACCGGTTGAAACCTGATGCATAAACTAACTGTTCTCTGATCACGTATTAAGATTCTTCTCAGTCAATTCAATAATATTATTAATCGAAATATTATAAATAATTATTTAAGATGCTATTATTAAACGTATTTTCTCACCCGTTTAATATGAATCAGCAATTTTACTAGATAAATATGTTTTATCGTAGACTTCACTTATATTAGAAAGCTGAGAGTTATATGTAATTTTATTATATATTATAGATTGATCCGAAATTGAATTCTATTTTAATATTATCATATATTTTTTCACTTTAATTTGATAAAGTAAAATTTAATTATATAAATGTGAAAAAATATATATTTTAAATTAAAAATATTCTGAAATTTAAAAATTGTTTTTTAGAAAAATAGCTTCCTAATATAATGATATTCTAATAAGGTAAAAAACACAATGACAAATAAAATAAAATATATGTAAGATAATATTTTTTTCTTTCTCAAATGATATGTTATTTTTTTAACGAATCTATTCACACTGAAGGATAGAATTATTTTTTAACTAACAGAAAATATTAAAATAAGTAGAAAAAGATAAAAATTTACACAATTGTTAAATTATGTACCGTAAAAAGACTAAACTAAATAAAATAATCAAAATTATTATTAAATTAAATTTTTTTATATTAAATTTTAATATTTCGATTGAAGATAAAATTTAAATGAAATACTAATTTCTTGTACGATTGGTCATGCAGAGCATAAGAAATTAAATTTCATCGGATGATAATAGAGATAAAGTAGAAAATAGATTTATCACTTATGGAATTTGATATCCTATTACAAACAAAAAATAGAATAGACGTGACATCTTATGGGACTTTACATCAGTGATCTGAAATACCGACCTCAAAAAAGCTATCTGTCATTTAACGCCATCTAACCAGTTATAATATAAATATATATACAAAATTAAATCGTTAAAAATTTTAAAGTAAGCTTATATTTCATAAAATAATAATAATAATTTAATGATAACAAAAATTAAAATGTCAAAAAAATGAAATTTAATGTTTCTTCTTACCTCTTTGCATGATGGATAATTAGTCTTATTTTCTTGAAAGAAACACTGATTCTATATTCTATACCGAAAACGAACTTTTAAAATAAAAAAATAAAAATAATAAACTATTTATTCGTATTGTATCGACGAACAAACACTGATTCTAATTTCGCGTATGATTATTTTAAATTACTTAAGACTTATTGTGTTCTAAAAATGCGAAATATTACGAAAAAACACTGACTCTATCGACCACATTGCGGATGATCATAAAAATTTTCTGAAAGAAAAATTGCGTTAATAATAAGATAATTAAAAAAAAATACTTATGTTTCTAAACATATGAATTGAAAATTCGATGACGAAAGAAATGAATTTAATTTATTTATATTAAATAATCTATAATATATATTTTATTCGAAAGTCGAATATATTTGTTACTTAACGAATATATTATTAAAATCTAATAAAAAAGAAAATAAAAACATATTAGCACTTGATACGAAAAATTAAATGTTATCACTTTTTCACGATCACGTCGAATGGTTGTTAGCGTCCATATTGAAATTTTTTCTCGGTAGATTATCCCAATAACCAATCGATAATCTGCACAAAAGATAATCAAATGTTTAAAATAAATATATAAAATATATGAAATTAGAATCAATTATATTAAAACAAAACTATAACCATATTCAAATTCCATGCAATTTAATTATACTATGCAAAATTTAATAATATTTTTTACCAATACGATATTAATAAAAAATTAGGTTAATAAAAGAAAAAAGAATAAATTATTTCTCAAAAAATAATTAGATATAATAATATTCAATAGATTATCGAATAAATATAATTAATTAAACAAAAATATACAAGAAATAAAAATATAATTACAGAAATAATATATTACGCAGTAAATTAATCGCGCACCTGCGAAGCGAAACGTCTAAACGCCACGACTTTCGATAGCAAAATGACGCGTCGACGATTTGTACGGAAGCAAGAAATCAAAACATACCGAGCATATATATTCAAACAAATTATCAATTTCTCAGAAAGGGAATTATAAGAAACCTTGAGCGTAAAATCAAAACAAAAACATTACGAATTGAACGCTCGAAGACACGTTTACAATATATACGTTTATAAAATATGTATGAAATAAAATTAATCAAAATGATTTAATCTACTTTTATTTTTAATAATAAATAAAATTTTTTAATTAAATAAAAAAACAAAATTTATAATAATTATTACACATTTTTTGTTAAAATAAGTCAAATTTTATTATATTTGCATGAAAATAATGAGTGCATAACCTATTACACGTTTGAACTAATTAAATAATAATCTGTACAAATAAAAATCAGAATCATGAAACAAATATATAAAATTAGAATAATATTAAAATAATTAAATTTAAATCCGGCTTCAGATGCTTATAACACAACTATATAACGTTTACAACAAACTATTGACGAACGACTAACTGAAAAATATGCGAACAATAAAGAAAAAACTCAAAAAACAATTGAATTTTGGTATAGTTATACCTGATAAATGATTAAACGCATACAAATAAATTAAACAAAAGCATTAGTAGTTTATAAATTATATTACAATATCAAATTTCACAATTATATACCTGAGTCGGTGTAATACATCCTCTCATCGTGATTCTTGATAGTAAACTGACGCCATATATGATTCGTCTAATTACTGGGCCTTAGCAGCTTTCTGATTGGCTGAAGCTGCATAGTTCTTATTCACTTCAACCGCGCGAAAATTCATGTATAATAGAATATATTTTAAACGTAGATTTCTATACATTGAAGTTCATAAAATCTTACAAAGACACTAATTAAAAATAAAATAAGACTGTATTATTATAATTAATATAATATAAAAATTATTAAATCAAATTAAAAAGATTGAAAGATAAAATTGAATATTTAAAATAAAATTGGATATAAAAGAAAAATATATCTAAATTAAAAAATACTAGAACATGACGAAAGAATTTAAACATTTGGTTTAACAAATAACTTTTTAATAATTAATTTTATTTATATCTGTATTAAAATATTCTAACTTTTATTTTATGCGAAGAATAATCACAAAATAGCCCTAAGTGGATTTATTTGTTAACATTTTTTAAATTTGATTAAATAGAATTTTTAATTTGATAAAATAGAAATCTATTAATTAATTATTAGATATTTTTGAATAAAATTTATTTTTTAAAAAATGTTTTAAATTTAATTCAAATTTTATTTATACTTTTAATCTTTATTTATTTTATATATATATTTAAATAATTAATTAATCACTTGTGTTAAAAGGAATGCAACTTATCGTTTGAAGATACATTGGCAGCAATTTTTTATCTATCAATATTAATCATGAAATTATGTATTAAGTTTCGTAAAGTACATAAAATTGTTGTATTCGCGCATAAAAATACATCTTAAACATGAAATTCATGCGCAATTTTAAATTAGAACAGAAAATTGAATATCCTTTCTGAAGAATAGCGTCAAACCGGAACTGATCTGATCTTTCCTCATCCGGTAACCATAGCTCGATGGGCAAAGTCGATAACAACGATTATCTGTAAAATTCAACGAATATTTTAAGAAATGATTTAAATGTTAATAATTTTCAATATTCTACTAATATTTCATTAATTTTCTAATTACGTATTTACTATAATATATTTACTATTTATTATAATTTATCATTTTTTAATTTAGATTTATTAATTTTACAAGTAATTACTTTTTTAAATTTATTACAATTTATCCTTCCATTTAATACTTTTGTATTCGATAAAGAATATTATAGTTTATCAAATTTATATATTTTTATCTTACCTCAATAGAAAGATATAAGAGAAGAAATGTAATTCCATCTTTTATTTGAACGTATAGTTGCATAAACTCACGGGTGACCCGTTTCTGTTGTCGAAAGTAGAATCTATTGAATTTTGCGAAGCGTATTAGAGAAGTAGTTGCCTTCGATTTTCCGGTAAATGCTGCCACACCTCGATTTTCCATCCAGTGCGCACATATTCCACCCTACATTCAAAATATGTACTACATGGATCGTCCGACATGCATGTAAATGTGTTCCATCATCCCTCCTTATTCCATATTCCTGTTTGTGTATACTTCCTAATGCAGGACTTTTATCGAATGGCGGATTTCTCGAATTTCTCGGAAATTTCGCTCGATCTCTACAACATTTAAAAATTCTTTAATTTAAAAATGCCTGGCAACAACTTATCATACGTAATCTCCAAATCTCCGAACATTGCAAAACCAATCGAACTATTGAAATATCCTCGCAATTTGGAGAACGATATTTAAACTTGTATAAAATGATACTCGCAATGTTCTCGAATTAACAAGAACAATCGAGAAGAATCAAGAATTAAGAAGAAAATATTCCAAAATTCTTTTCTAAATTTATTTTAAAATTCCAACTTTGGCATTCTAATAAACTTAACAATTTACTTTCTCCAAATTATTCCAACATTTCGAACGGAAGAGAGCAAGAGATAATCCTCCTTCCGTATAACAATCGAACAAATTCCTTCTTTTTCACGAACGAGAGAATCTAACGTTTTCCAACGAAATTGAAAAAAAAAAAAGAAAAAGAAAAAGAAAAAGAAAAAGAAAAAGGAAACAACGCATCAACTTAACGACCAATTACATGGATCACTCGAGGAAATCCCGCTCGTAGCGAGGCGGCGCGAGAGGCGAATCGCGGCCATCGGTATCGAGCAGCGCATGTGTCCTGAAGCGAGAGCGTCCGACTCGAGGCGCCACGACGCCGGCGTCGCACGGCGTCGAGGGCAGCGCCGACGGCTCACCGCGACGAGGTGGATAGTCGCAATCATGCCACCACCCTGACGCGCGTCCCCGTATCCACGGTGCGTGTACGTCGACGGCGCAAAGGTGGTAATCGAATACACACATATACATATATATATATATATACATATACACACACATCTCCTCGACAAAAAACGAGAAACAATCGTCGAGTAACGATCTCTCGACTCGTGCAACGCGACACGCGAGTAACCGGAACTGGAGGCCTCCTCGAGGAGGAGGAGGAGGAGGAGGAGGAGGAGGAGGAAGAGGAGAAGGAGCGCAACGAGCGGAACCGTGAACACGACTACGAAGGGCGCAACGAGCGCGAGCACGGTGTGTAGAACGATCGAAAACAGGGGGACAGGGGCGGCGAGTGGACACCGGTGCGCGGAGAGGAAGGAAGGAAAGCAACGATCGACGCGACCACGGTGGCCCTTCGATGCGAGACGCCTCGAGGAACGGCACGGTACATACACGCATAAATACGCCCCGTATCCTCCTCGAACGGTTTCGAGAATTCGGGAATCGTGGCATCGGATGTCGATCCGGTCGAGTGCGTGTGCCGCAGGGGGTTGCATGCGGTGTGGCGCAGCTGCGAAGCTGCGCTTGACAAGTGTCGTCGTGTGCGGGACACGTGTGCGGAAAAACTGCTCAACGTGTTTTTCCACAATGCGTAGTGCGCGACACGTAGAGAGTAAGGGGGAGAGAGATAGATAGATAGATAGATAGACAGATAGATAGATAGACAGATAGAGAGAGAGAGAGAGAGAAAGGAGTTTTCCTCGATGGAAAACTGCACGTGTCGAGCTAGCCGGATCGATCGACCGGAAGTGCGAACCGGAGAGAGAAAGAGAGAGAGAGAGAGGGAGAGAGAGAGGGAGAGAAAAAGAGAGAGAGAGAGAGAGAGAGTTTTGAATCGTACACAACCGGCGATGGTGTGTCGTGGGTGGAGCGTGTGTAAAGAGAAAAAATATAGATAGAAAAAGGGAAGAAATTCGGAGCTGGTTCTAACCTCGCTTCCTCCTTCTCGATCTCGCAATCGGTGACACAAGCGGCTCGGCTCACTCGCGCGCGCTCAAAGTGTACGCGCTCTAGCTTCGTGTCCGCTCTATTTCCGTGTGTTTTCTTTGGTGATGCTTGCAGCTGCGCTCTTCGTAACGACCGTGGTGATTTTTATCAAGTATTTTTGGGTCGCGAGTTGTTGTGCCCGTTTTCCATTTTCCACGGCCCGATTCCATCCGTGGCTTGACCGCTCCTTTCCATCCGTGGAATTTCAACGATACTTCTCAAATACCTATATATATATATATATATATACACTCTATATATATATATATAGATTTGTAAATATACTTCAAGAATGAATTTACGCGGTAAAATAAGTAGAAAAGAAAAACGTTGTATAAACGTGTGTGTCCCACATACCTTGGATTTCGGGTCACGGATGATTAAAGAAAACGTTGCCACCGCGATCCCCTCGATCTCGATTCGTTAAATTTTTACTCTCTTACACGTCTAATCGATCTGCAAAGGAAAGGAAAAAAAAATAATAATAATTCGAGAAGCAAAGTTAATAATTGTACGTGAAACTTTATATCCCTCATATCATTCTCTTTAATTATCCACGATAAGAGAAAACGGTATATACTTGTTTTTACATAAATTCTCCTCCGAATTCACATCGATTTACCAATCACGGTACACTGTAGATCGAGTCAAACGATCATTTCTCTAACGCACACAGAGAAGCAGCAGCATTATCGTATCACGCGAGATACGATCTCGAGAGAATCGTCAACATCGTCTCCCCTCGCGTGTTGTCACCGGCGATTCCTCAGGTGCTCCCATCCGCCTCCCCTCCCGCGTCGCGACCGCGTGATAGCCGCGATGCTTGCAGACGTATATACATCGACCATCGACGTGTAATGAGTGTGCGACACGAGCGAGGATCGCACGACGAACGACGCGAGGTTCGCAGGTGCAACAGGCATGCGTGGAACTCGAAAGGTGTTCTCGATCCAATTCTCGCGCGTTGATACTCTTCTTCTTCTTCTTCTTCTTCTTCTTTTCTCGTTTTAAGAAACGAAAATCGGTTGAAAAAAATTATTAATGGAAAGATTCTTTTTTTTTTTTCTTTTCGGTGGAGGAAGATGAGAAGGAATAGAAGGAGGGAAGGAAGAGGGAGAGCGCGCGAAGTTGGCACTACGAACGATCGTTTAGAAGGAAAAACGATCCTCTAGGAGGAGTTATTTTAATAATGAGGGTAGACCGCCTCTTTGTGGCCGCGCTCTCTTTTCTTTTTCTCCTTGCCCGCGCCGACAAGCGTGTGAGCATCGTGTGATTACGCGTGATTATTTCTTGCGTGCAAACGATAGGCCGCCGCATCCGGAGGGGATCGATTAATTGATTTCTGTTATATAAAAAAAAAAAAAAAAAAAAAAAAAGCGGGAGGACTACGAAGCTTTTACGTGTATACGGTACCGTTCCACATCCTCGTTCTCGATCGTAATCCTCTCTATTTCGTGTCGCGAGACTTAGACTGCTCATCGCATATCGTAGGATCGTTGACATCGAGGCGATGTAAATTCTAATAGATTCAAGGAAGCCTAGTTTTCGTTGGGGAGGGGGGAAAGCGAGTGACCGATATCGCGTGTGCAGCATCAAAAATGCAGCTTTATATATATGTATATATATATATATATATATATATATATATATATATATATATACGTGGTGGGTATAGTTGGTGGCTTTTCCTCGATCGATCGAGATCCATCGTTTGGATTCACCATTCTAGTAGACTACTTTGTCGTATTCTTTTATTGGAAGGTCTTTCTCTCCAATTGTTCTCTTCTTCCTTCTTTTATCCGTTATCTAAGTAAATCTATGTACGTATATCGAAATCTTTTCGAGGGGTGAATGGAAAAATCGATTTCTTCCTTTTCTTCGTTCTAATGGATCTAATTGCTATCATTTCGATAAAATTTTCCCGAATTTCGTTATATTTGGAACTATATATTCGGATGAATAAGCATGTAGGTGTAATTATTGATATTTCTCCTTACGCGTTCATTCAGCATTGACTCACCCAAACGTTCCAAACACGTAACTTCTCCCACGTACGAATTAGTAATCGTGCAAATCTGAATGAACACTCACCCCGTGATATCTTAACACAATTATAGTCTTTATTCCCAGTCTTGTTTTCTTTCGATTCGTTCGTCTTCGATATATATATATATATGTATATGTATAATGCGAATTATACACAAACGGAGTCAATAAAATTATCCACGGATCTCGATTCGGTGATCGCATTACCAAAATTCTATTTCTAAATATTATCGTTAATTTTTACGTACACGCGTGGCGCAAGGTTAATCGATCGCCTCGATATGTATCAAACGGATGCAAAACCCATAAATCATCCCTTGACCCAATCGAGAAGAATCTCTCCCCAAATTTCACGAGAATTCAAAAAAAAAAAAAATTGGAAAGAACCATTTCTCTAGAAAATGAAGAGAGCAATCCTCTTAATCGAATGAAATAGAAAGAAGAAGAGAAAAAAGATTGCTTGCATCCAGAGTCGAAGACGATCGAATCGAATCGACTTGCGTTCCGTCAAATGGTCGCCGATTTTCCGCGAGTGGCGGCGGCGCGAGAAACTCCTACTATTTATAAACGGTTTGAACCCGGTCGCATTGGCGAACCTCTGTGGCCCGCTCGAGCTGCCGCCTCGTGGGCCGCCGCGGCGTGGGGAACAATTCGCCACCCCATGGTAAAAATAGAAGCTCCTAGCCAGCTAGCCGAGAAGCTCGAGGCTAGAGCTCGAGCACGAGTTCTAGCGTTGCTAGAGTTGGTGGGGCGGGCGAATCCGTGTCTACTAGCCAAGCCATCCGGTCGACGCGTCCACCCTCGATCGTCGCGATGACGATCGTCCCCGCAATCGTCGTCGTCGTCGTCGTCGCACCGATGATCGATCTCTCGAAAGCGGGGAAAGAGACGGGGAAGAAACTATCTACTTTGGTACTTTTCCGTTCTTCCTTTCTTTTTTTGTTTCTCGAAGCAAAAAGCGAATAAATGTCCATCTCGACAGAGAAGAAGAAGAAGGGAAGAGAGGAAACTAGAAGAGAATCGGTCTAATATCCCCCGCGGATACTCGTCGCGAAGTCTAGTGAATATTTTAAGACCGACGAGAGGCCGCATGTAGGAAGAGGCGGGCTGATTCACTGGCCGTGTTCGCACGTAGGAGGACCAGGGAAACAGGGAGAATACCGGTGTTCCTTCTTCTTTTTCCTCTTCTTCTTCTTCCTCTTCTTCTTCTTCTTCTTCTTCTTCTTCTTCGGTGGACGGCGACCGACAGGAGGGACGGACAGGGGCCTAGAGGAAGCAGAGGGCCGAGCGTTGCGCGCTCCTCTATCGGACGAGCTTTCGCGCGTACGTTTCGACGACTGGCCGAGAGGAACGGAGGCGCAAGCACAGAAGACCGAGAGGATAGAGGCGGAGGGAGAGAGAGAGAGAGAGAAAGAGAGAGAGACTGCGCGGCGGAGGGAGAGATGGAGCGAGAGAGGGCCACATTCCGAGCGGATCACGGATGCTTATAGAAGCGTTGCGTAACGGCGTCAGACGGACGGCGAAACCGCGGCTGCTGTTCTGCCCGTCGACAACTTTCGACAAGTTCGAGTTTCGAAAAATCCTCTCTCCCGTCCACCCTTCAACACGCTGGAGAGGATAATATAAAGGAGGGTAAACCGGCGATCCCTCGGCCGACCCGGAGCGTCATACAGCGCGGAGTGTTGCGTCCGAGAACCGAGAGGCAGCGGTTCTCCAACGATCGCGCCGCTCTCCTCCCTAGATCTGGTTTCTTCCACTGGAGTCTGAAGGGAGAGGAGGATACGTTTCTCTCTCCCTCTCTCTCTCTCTCTCTCTCGGTGGTGGCCTCCGCTGGTGGCGCGAAACACAGCTGCTTCGAGGTCTGCTGAGTTAGGGAGAACGGGTGGCGAGTGCGCGCGAGATGTTACCGCGATAAAAGTCCATTCTTACGGGGAATCGGTTTGTTCAGGTGTGAAAAAGTGAGAAGTGAGAGGAGAGAGGGAGGAAGTGAAAATTATCGTCGACGATTCGTCGAGTGGTTGTGGTGGTGGCGGTGGAATACGGTGGTGGTGGACGGTGGTAGTGGTGTCGGGAAGATCTCCACGGGTGCATCGATTCCCGATTTCTCGTGTTCGGCTCCCACGAGAGTTAGTGTTTCAAGGCCACGGGGAAGCGGCCGCTCGAACTCGCAGTGGGGGAGGGGAGTGACGCGAGATCAGCTTTGCCGCCGTTGCGGTGGATCGTTGTGGGTTCGAGGCTCGAGATTTTTGCTCGTGATGATGTTTCTCTCGGCACCGTTACACTGTCCGACCAACGGCTACTAAAATTAACCCGTGTCGAATCCTAGAGCGTTCTCGTCTAGCCTCGGTTCGGGCTGAATCCCGTATTTATAGATCGTACACAAAGAAGAGAAAAACCGTATCCTTGACATCCAGAATCCGAGCGGTGGATCGGTTAACGAAATCGATAATCCCTCTCTTTCCCCGTTGTCAACGATCCGTTCCGATCCGCCGGTCAGTTTTCCATCCAACGAAATCTCGCCGAGTCTCGATCCTCCCCCTCCCGTGCGAAACAACAACGCGCGCACGTTACGCGCCAAGTTGTCACAATTCTCCCTCTTTTCTTTTATTTTTATTTCCCCCTCGCGACTCCTTCCTCACTTTTTCGTTATCCGCGAGAGAAGTGTCGCGACGAACGAAGCCGCGAGCGAACCGAATCCGAATTGTTGTTGGGTGATATTGCAGAGGCGAGTCGTGGCGAGAGGAAACGTGGAAGAAACGTGGAGGCGGATGGAAGAGGATGGAAGGATGATGACGGAGGAGCGAGGTTCGGGAAGGAGGCGCGTGTCCGCCGATCTCTGGTAACGGGCCGTCACGACGACGACGAGGACGACGAGGAGGACGATAACGAAGACGACGGAGGCGACGAGGACAACGGCGACGAGGGAGGAAAAAGGGAGCGGCGCGTCCACGACAACGACAACGAGCACGAGTGCGAGCGCGATAAATAAAGGGGGGAGGGACGAGGATTACGACGTGGGTGGTGGGGAGACGAGTTGGTGGTGGAGGAGGAGGAGGTGGAAGAGTTGGAAGCGGTGTCGAAGAGGATGCAGCAACAGCCACAGTCCGGCGAACAGTCCGGGGCGCCGAACGGGGTTGCAGGTGGTGGGCAATTGCCGCAAACAGGTGGCATAAGCTCGTCCCAACCTGGAGCGACAGGTACCGCCACGGCGGGGTCCAATCGCGCCCAGGTGAACGGCGGCAGATTCGATTTCGACGATGGCGGCACCTACTGCGGCGGTTGGGAGGATGGGAAGGCTCACGGGCACGGGGTCTGCACCGGGCCGAAGGGCCAAGGCGCGTACTCGGGAAGCTGGCACTACGGGTTCGAGGTCTCCGGTGTCTACACCTGGCCTAGGTGAGATCAAACTTTCGCCTCCTTCTTATTCATTTCTGGCATGCTTTCAATCCACTCGAGACGCTCTTAAACCAGCGTCACGCGTTTCCCTCTCTCTCTCTCTCTCTCTTTTACTCTCCGCTCAATTTTCATCGTACGTATCGCCCTGCCAATTTCGTGGAGATTCTCCTCTGCTTTCGGATCTTTTTTCCCATTTGATCTGATATTCTAGGGGATTCATCCTTCATTCGAAACTATTCGATCGTTCGATGCTTCCTATAGTTCTTTTCATTTCCTTTTACACTTAATACTGAGAGAAAACTGGAAACTGATAACGTAAATGCAGCTCGTCAGTTCTCGCTCGACCCCTGCAATCCCTTTTTTCTGAAATATCTCCTAAATCGTTCGATTTGCGAGAAACATTAAAACATTTTTCTTCTCCGCTACTTATCCTCTCTTTCTCTCTCTCTCTCAACGATAGAACGAGCTTTTTTCCCTTCTCCACGGACGACTTCGAGAGCGCGTGGACGATGAATCGAAACGGGGAGAGGTTTCTCGTTCTCTCGGATGGGGGAGGGGGCGATTCTGAAACGGCGTCAATTCGAGATGAACGGGGGACCTTGACACGTATGTATTGGTATACGTACCTGGGGAAGGGCGGGAATCCTGAAAGTGGGCCACCGAGTGCAAGGACAACGAGTCCGGGTCACTGGGAACCGAGCCGTTTAGGACCTAGTTCACGGACGCGGCGGAGTCCTACCGAAATTCCTACCGAATTTCCCAGGATTTTCGACGATTCCCTCCAATTCTCGGCGGGGGTAATAATAATCCTCTTTCCTCGATCGAATTTTCCTCCTGAATCTCCCCCCTCCGATTGCGCCTTTTAATCGGAATTGGATTTCGTCCAAGGAAAGTTTTCCCCCTCTCCCATATTTCTATAGTGTTTTCTGAAAAAGTAAGAACGAAAATGTATTTAAACGTGAATAATATAATATTTTTAAATATCGTGGGAGATTTAATTCGAATTGATATTTTCTTGGGATGTGAGATCGGGATCGATGGTGCGCGAAACATTTTTTATTAGTTAGTCATTATTTATGGATAATGAATTTTTGTTGCATTACGCAAAATTTTCTTTTCTCTCTCTGTCTTATTATTCTCTGAATGGAAGAGAAAAAATAAAAAGAAAAATTATCGGACAGCTCCTTTCTACCGGATATAGCGCCAACTATATTTGATCCGATTCGATCGTTCCGGAAGAAATTCTGTCGCGCAGCTTTAAATAGTCCAGTGCAACGAGAGCTCGTAAATATAAGTGTTATTAACATCGGCTGACACGCGCGCGTTTCAACGTATAGGGGAATTGACCCACATTTTTATGTATTTTTAGCACCATCTTCGTCAATGGGAACGACGAGATTAGGATGAAATCGAAACAACAAGTCGCGAATTCTTTCTTCACGTAAATAATAATAATAATAATAATAATTTCTGAACCCGTTACAGCTTTCGAGGTTCGATCTGTGCCACGATATTTATTAAAATTCGCACGTTTGAAGATGAAACGTTCGAAGTCGAATTGAATTCTGATCTATCATCAGAGATAATCCGTAAATTAGGGAGAGGTTTTGGTAACCAAGATTCGATTATTCGGATAATAGGTCATGTCGATGCTTTGGATTGTCCAAGAATATCAATATTGCCACTGCGTGTCGAATATCATTAGGATATCTGAACTATCCCAAACATCCAGATACTCAACTGCCTGTCCATCTGTGTGCAATTGATATACATATTAGAGATCCTAATGTACATTTCTGCTTAACCTTCGAAATTTAGACGAATTAGGTCAATCCCGTTTTACTTTATTCCTTTTCTATTCGCTTTATCTATTAGCTTTCTATTTTGATGAATTACTTGAAAATCATTCCTTTTAAATTTTCCAAGATTCTGCAATTTTATTTTATCGTGCAAATTTTTTATTGAATAAAATCTTTTATGTTAATACATTCAATATGACAGTTTACGTACGGTACGACGTTTCCAAAATATTCGATTTTCTTTTCATATATTTCATTGCTCGGTACAATTGTTCTGCCATCGATATGCACAACTATTTCCAATTTCGTTGCATTTTTCATCGTTTCGTAACTGTCTTTTGCATTTATCAAAAATCGATATTCAAGAATTCTCTTCGATTTTTTGAATATTGAATCTTGAATATATATATATGTGCGAAAAGAGAGGCAAAAATTGGATAATTTAAACGTAAAATGTAAAAAGACACTTAAATATTTTTTCGAAACATTAAGATTTAGAATTCGATTGTATTAAAATTCTTCCTTGTTGCGAAATATCGAAACGAGGAAAATTTCTTCTGCACGATCGAATATATCGATCGGCCAACAACATTAATCATCCATGTAACAATTACGAGAGCACGTAAATGGATTCCATGACAGAAAAATATTGCTCGAAACGTTCTTCGATCGTATCACGATCACGCACGTTCGAATATTGTAATACCACGTTTTCACCTTTCAAGTCTTAATCCCTTCGTTTATTCTTAGAATTAGTGCGTTAATTCTTTACGATATATCGAGAGAATCTTCGTCTAAAATTATTAATGAACACGTTCGATCCTCCCTTCTTCTCGAACATCGATCACTCGTATCGATTCTATTCCTCGATCTCACTTACTCTTCTTACTCATCTTAATTACAAATATTCAAAGTTTGATAATTTCACACACCTAAATTTTATTCTTCTTCCCCCTTTTCTCCACTTCGAATTCGCCGTTGGAAATCGAACCAAATACTTAATCCTAAAGATTATTTAACAAGAAGCGTTTCTAATTATAATAAACTCCATACTCATAATTTCAAACAAGATTCTTATTAAAATGATATCGAAATAAACCGATACCGAACGATTCATTCGATCATTCGATAATAAGGAACGCGTTATTAATTCGTTCGTCCGTGAAATCGTTAATTACACTCCAATCTTATGGCCGCCAATTCAATTCATCGCCTTTCCTTTCAACGTGCGACTCGGAAACGCAAACGCCTGCTGCTTCTTCGATCGAAGATGGTGTTCGGTGGAGGGGGGAACGGAGACAAAAAAGTGGACAATGGGGGAAAGGGAATAGGCGGAGGAGGGGCGAGCTCGCGTGCGACCACGAGTATCTGGGGCGAGAGTGATCCCAGCCGCGTTTCGTTTCTAAACTGGAGCAAGGTCTTCGCCGAGTCACGTTTTCCTAGGGATGGCCGATAAATTATGGGACCTGGCCCATAACAGGCCGATGACGGGAATCCGTTTCGATTATTTTTATCGTCTCCTATGTAAAATAATCCCCAACCGCGTTTCCTCGTAAACATTTCCGTAAATTTGTTTAATTTTCGCCTTTTCGTTCGTCGCTTCGAAATTTGGAAATTTGGATCTTTTTGCTTTTTTTTGGAGGAGGAAGGGAGGGTTGTTTAACAGAGATAGATTTAGAATATTTTTTTCTGGAGATGAGAAAGGCGAACTGCTTTGGCGCGATGATGATAATATCTTTCGATTAGAAGATGGATTACGTATGAAGATCGAAGAGTACGTGATTTTTAGTGTGTATATGTATATTAAAAAACGGGATACGCACGCGATGTGTAATTTCAAAATAATAAAATATTCATATAGATTCGACGTGAGATTTCTTTTTATGCAACAATTTAAATAGTAGCCGCGAAATGCGACATCAAAGGATACAGGTATTTTTGACGAAAACGGTGGCACGCGATACATTAAATTACTCGAATCATATCGTCGAATCGCTGGTTAAATTTAAAAATTTCACAAAATTTCTCACCTTATATATATATATATATATATAGTGACGTAACGCAATTCTCTCGAATTGCATCGTACAAATTAAACAAATATCGGTGGACAAATTCGATTAACCAATATTCACGATTAATCTCTTGTCAGATTTATTTATTTATACTTCTTGAAACTTTGCGCGTATTTATTCTTCCATCCACACGAGATACCCATTCGACCAATTTCTTACGCATTTCCCGAGGAGAGAAAATTCCCCTCGACGCAATTCTCAATCATCGTCAATCTTCTTAATTAAAACGGGCTCCACCGTTGTTGTTTACAAGCGGCATCGGCGCGTGGATATCGTCGCGATTATTAAACCGTAATTCCCTTCCAAGAATGAATTCAAGAGGAAAGAAAGGAAAGAATACCTTGCGCCATCGAGATGGTCGACAGTTTTACGTATACGCCTCGATAAATATTCTAATTGTTGCACGGTCACGTTAACAATGACACATTGGCGATTAAATGGAACGTGAATCGTTCACTTATACGATACATATATATATTTTTTTTTGATAAAAATATGTAAGAATACTTATTTTTCACGAATGTTATATTAAAGCTCGTGTTATTTTTTTTCTCTTCTCGCGAAAAGGAGAGAGACGATTTCACGTTGCCTTCCGTGAGAGAGAGAGAGAGAGAGAGAGAGAAAAGTGGCAGCAAAGAATTTGCTCTCTTTCCTCCCCGTATATCGCAATATCGAGGGAAAGAAAGATACTTTGAAAAGGAAGATTGCTCCTTCGGAAATCGAAGGATCCGTTTCTTTTCCCTCCTCGACGAAAGTCGACGAGGATTCGCTGGATGCGTGGAAAAGAGAACCGTGGTGAAAAGACGAAAGAACATAACGAGGTTCTCCTCGAGAACCACCCCGGCAAAACTTGATTCCCTCTTCTTCTCTGCCCAGATTCAACGCTTAACAATCTTCCTGTTACGTGAAATTAACGATTTTAAAACCTGAACGTGAACGTCATTCAAAAAGGAAGAAAAACTATTGGAAATCATTCGCTCCAATTTATTCACACTCTTTCAAAGTATCTCTATTTAAATTCTTCCAATCATTATCATTTCGATATAATTTCCATAATTCTATGGAGTCTCTATTCTATAAAATCTCACTCCTCTATTCCATTTCTTTCGAAAGGATACAAATCGTTAGAAATCGATTATTCGACCAATATTTTTAACGAATACTGGCATTTTTCTCAAACCTAACCTAACCTAACCTGAGAAAACATGCAAGACGAATCGAACGCAAAAATCGGTAAGGAAGGTAAGAAAGCGACAAGTATCCCTCGAGAACCCCCCATTATTAATCAACCGTGGAGTGATTTTCCCTTTCGAATCCCGTTAAACGATATCGAATTTCAGCGGATCGGTTTACGAAGGCCAGTGGCAGAATGGAAAGCGGCACGGACTGGGCATGGAGACCCGTGGACGATGGATATACAGGGGCGAGTGGTCGCAAGGATTCAAGGGTCGATACGGCGTCAGGCAATCGACCACGTCCACGGCGAGGTACGAGGGAACGTGGTCGAGCGGTCTTCAGGATGGATACGGTTCAGAGACCTACGCCGACAGTGGTGAGTTCCGCTTTAATCCTATACGTGTATATATATTTCATACGCGTTCAATGAAGAACGATGGAAATTTTTTTGGATCTTTTGGCGTGCGTGGGCGGGGATATAGGGGATATATTCCTGTGATATATATATATATATATATTAAAACTCGTGAATGGGTCGCTCTCTATTTTTATCTTTCCACGATTTTGATTTTAAAGGGTTCGTTGGGGATGGACGAATATTAAAGTATCGAAGAATGTATTAAAATAATATTCTTCTTCAAAACGTTAAAACTAACGAATTTTGGTGCGATGGAGGTTGATTGAACAGAGAAAATAAAAAAATCGGATTATTTCGATCAAATACAATATCGAGTGTATATTAATTGGGGGGAAAAAAAAAAAAACGGATTCTTCAAAGATTTTTACGATTCGTTAGAATATAATTGCCGAGAAAAATTCGAGTGATAATATAGAGGAAAGGGGTTTGGTCGGAGGAAAAAATCGACGCGAGAAATTGGAACGAAATAAAGCTGTCAGAGGCAGATCAAAGGACACGAAGGCGTGTCCTGTTGTGAGGCACGATTTGTTGGAATCTGTGTCAATTCCAAGTGACAGGACACGTGTCCCGGACGCGCCACTCTTTCCGCGGAAGCGGAAAGATTAATAATCGATCCGATTTTTTCTTTCCTTACGCCCGATCTTTATTGTCCGCGTACGTAATTTTTGCGTTCAATCTCTTGCGTGGGTTATTAATAAGCGTTTTAATTACTAATCTGTCTGCAAGAGACACGGTTCCTTTTTCGCACGAAATCGGGCAACACGCCAGTTTGGCCGCACGGCCAACGCAACCGGCTATCGCACCTTCGCCGTCATCTTCTTCGTCGGTTTAATAATTAAATAAACAAAAGCAGCCCCGCCGTCGCGCTGCTCCATCATTTCGATCTACGAACGACGATATCCTTCGTCCTTTTTCTTCGTCCGTGTTCTTCTCGTTCGATTCTCAGATCTCACAATTTTCAATGTCCAGATTTATATTTCGCAGAAATATAAATTTCGAAGAAATATGGAAGAGATTGGAGGTAAATAAGTTGCCATCAATCGTGATATCGAGCAGCGTCTAATGAACTTCTTAGAGATTTTCACGATAATTTCACGCTCCCGTTGATTAACGTCGCGTGGCCAAGCGAGTCGTTGCGTGTTTTGCATGTTTCTTTGAAGATATCCCCCTTCGTAAACGTCACGTGGTGGCGGGACGTGGACGTTTTAAGGTTAGGTGCCGAGCAAATCTTACATAAACTCTCGATTGTACAAACAGATTTGCCGTAAACGCCGTAAACGCCGGCGCAATTAAAATTTTGACAAGTGAGATTTAACCTAAGGTTTTTTTACGCGAAGGAATTACGGTCGGGTTGGGTTAGGTTAGGTTAGGTTGAGACGCAAGCGACTCGAGAAGGATAGAAAGTTTAATTTACGAGTTAGTTCTTCTCATCGATTAATCCAAGTCAAGTAAACAAAATTAATCTTCGATATCGATCGGTCGAAATTTGCTCGATGATTCTCGAGCATCGAAATTAATTTCACGCTTAATTCTCGTCTCTGACCTCCGTCATAACTCTCTCTCAGAAATACGATATCCTTCTCGACGACATCTCAAACGAAATTTTTTAACTCGCTTGAACTCGTCAATTTCCAAATTTATAGAATTGCGAAATTTCATTTAGAGGATTAGCAATATTTACCTGAATAACATCAAAATTCTTATTTGTTTCTTTACCAAAGAATTTCTATTTAAATTCTATTTTTCTCACTCTTCTAACTAATTTTATTTCTTCCCAAAGAATTTTTTTCCCGATATAAATCATTAGAAACCCTGATATTCGATCAATTCTATTTTCCTTACAAAAACCTTGACATTTTTCTCAAAAGAAAAAAAATGATTCGATGATTCTCAGAGACGAGAATCCTTATCAAAAAGCGAAACATCGAAGCCAAAATTAATTTTACTTAATTTTCATCTCTGAACTGTAAAATACGATATCCTTTTCAACGACATCTCAAACGAAATTTTTTTTAATTCTGTTCCTTACTTTTTAATCCTTCGACGAATATTGGTCAGAATCTCTGGAGCGGAAATAAATAAATCCGTGTTTCGCGTTTCCGGCGATTTATTTAATATTCATTTTCGATTTATTTAATATTCATTTTTAAAACAACTTTTAGATCGGCCGCGATAAAACCACGTGTGACTCACATTCCAACTATTTCCCCCGCCGTTTTCGAGTATCCACGGGCGACCCCGATTCGCGCGCCGATCGAAAACATCAACGCGCGACTCTCGAAAAAAAGAAATACGTACATCTGCGTATATCTGTGGGTCGAGAGTCGTCGTTGTCCCATAAGAAGATAAGAAGAAAAGAAAAAGAAAGGTGTCGTCGATTTCGTGCATCAGATGAAAAGATTAGAGAGATCCCCTCCCCCCCCAATGACGATCTGTTTGGAAAATGTTTATTTCTATGTATTCTATGATTTCTATAAAAAAAAAGAAATCTATTTTTCTCGAGACGTGGAATCGGGGCATGGGATTAAAAAGCGGGTCTATCGATGACAAGGATAAATCACGACGATGAGTCACATCCATCCAACCGCGATACAAATTTATCTCTGAAAAAAATAGCCGAATCCAACGTGGATACGATTTAACGCCACTCTAAGCTTCTCCGAAAATAACCGAATTATCCGCGGAAACGACGTACTGCTACTGGTGTCATTCGAAATAGAACCATGTTAAGTATAATTTTAGATGACTGAGACGAAATCGATATCCGATCGACCGCACCTTCGAAATAATCCCTGGAAAGGGAACGAACAGAGATTTCTCTTTTCGAAACGAAAACTCTTCCTTCCTACGCAGATATTCGACCAATGAAAAAAAAAAAAAAAAAAAAAATGATCCAATTTTCGATAAAATTTTTTATATCTCTCTCTCTCTCTTTCTGCCATGTTCGAAAATCCCCAAGGATGAATCTTCGAAAACAAAAGTTTCTTCTCTTTCCCCTGCACAACCTAATCTCGTTCCTCCTGCTCCACTTTGCCTTCGAGAAGAGGAGGATCGCCAATAAATTGTTCGATCGATCGAATTTTTCGTCTCGATAGATCCGCGTGTTTTCTCTTTTCCATTCCTCGGACCAAATCCGTACGATAATCGATAACGTGGAAAGTGAAAATTTCGTGGGAAAAAGGCGTGAAATATATATATATAAATTCTCGTTCGTTTTCGGGAATAAGAGATAATCTCGTTGTAATGGTTCGTTGCCAAAGCGGATAATGTTGGGAAAGGAAATTGTTGCCCTACTTACCATCGCCATCACATTGTTGCTCGCCCGATGGTTTCGTGATCGATCGATATTAGCCGCGGCTATCGAGCCACCCCACCAGGGATTATATTTCCTGAAAAATATAACGTGATGATTACGTGAATTACGAAATTAAGCGAGGAGATTACGTGATCGCGATCGACCTTGCCTCCAATCTTTTTTTAATACATTATCAATCTCAATTTCGCGGGTTCCCCTTCTCCCCTCCTGCGAGAACGAAAAAAATGTCTGCACAATTTTTCTCGCGCACAATTTTTAAGGGAAAAAAGAATCGATTCGCGCGCGAATAAAATTTTACAATTTCGATTTCTCTGCAACGAGGAAAGAATTAAGTTAAGAAAACAGTCCAAGCTCCGCTCTCCATTATTAATTTCAACTTTTATCCTAATCGGGAGGAAGAACGAGGAAGGAAGGTACTTTGGAAAGAAAAGCAAAAAATTATGGAACAGAGGAGTACCGAGAAATGAGAGGAGAAGCTCAGAACTTTGTTGGAGGGAAGGGAGGAGGAAGAGAGAGAGAGAGAGAGAGAAGCGAAATAGACTCGAAGGAACGAAAAGTAAAGGAGAAAAAAAAAAGTAACAGCGTTCGCAGCGAAGTGTTGAAAATGCGAGGAGAGAGGAAAGGGAAGACGAGGATAAAATATAAGGAGGTGGGGAGACAAAGGATGGGGAAGGAGGGAGGGGAGGAGGAGAAAGTAGAGGCGGGTGCAGATAAGTTTTATTGCGTTTCATTTCGCCCGCTGCACTTGAGCGCTTTATTTAGAGCCGAACGAGCCAGCTGCTCGCTCGTTTTCTGATCTCTCTCTCTCTCTCTCTCTCTCTCTCTCTTTCACGGCGCCCCGTGTCAAGGAAGAAACGCGGGACGATGATGTATGCCCCGGCCCTGTTAAATCGTTACTCGAGGAATGGCCGAGTAACTCGTCTCGTAACTCTCGAGGAGGGAATCACGCGACGAGGGAACCACCGCCGATCCCTCGGTTCTCTTCTTCGTGTCGCCGGCCCCCCTCCCCGCCTCGTGACGCAGGAGGCGTGCAAAAGGGTGACACGTTATACGAAAATTATATTACGCAAGCCGGCTGACCTAGAAACGCTTCTGCGATCCTCTTTTTCTGGCCACGTCAAACGAGGGACGCTTTTCTCTCTCTCTCTCTCTCTCTTTCAATTTTTCCCATTCCTTTCTCTCTCTCTCTCTCTCGCTATTTTTCTTCGCTTATTTTCGAGATGCGTTTCGAACGAGTGAAGGGATTAAAGGCGATGATTCGTGAAAAATCGCCATTTCTTGATTTTGATCTTTCAGTTACTTTTTTGAAAAACGATTAGGTGAATTTGAAAATTTTGGAAAAAATCCTTCGAGTTCAAATTCGAGATCTCCTCGCGGGATTATATACACGAGGAATTTCTTCGACAGGTAGCGAAAATTTCGAATTTCGTGAAATGAGAAAATTGAAGCTCGATGGTTTGAAAAATGGCCGAAAAGCGCCAATTTCGAGAATCTCCACTCCTACAACGAGCGATCGCGACGGAATAGGGAGAAGCTGGCACGGTCACGTCATCGTCTCGACGTGTTCGTGTGCGCGCCGCACACGCGAAAATAGCACCATCACTCGGGCGGAATCGGTCGCGCGATCCTTCTCTCCCGATCCGCGACCCGTCACGAGACCTTCGTGCACGTGCTAATTAAACCGGGACCCGGCGGAATTTAAAAGAATCCGCTTCGTATTCCACGCGACGCTCCAACAGTTTAGCTTCATCTCTTTTTTTTTTTTTCACGAGTAGCGAGGCGGAATCGTAAACGAAACGAGATCGGCGCTAAGCGAACGATTTGTCTCGATTCAGGCCCGTGCAGCCTCGAATCAATTTCGATCTTCGCATCGTTCCTTATAAGAAACCAAGTATCGAGTCGATACTCGAAGTATTTTTGGGATAGATAATGATATATGGGAAAGGGTGATTAAGATTAAGATATATATATATGAAAAGTGTCGCTAATCCCGTAACATCTATTTAAGTATCTACTTAATCCATCTAAAGTGAAGTGTAGATCTTGACAATTAACCAAAGATATATCTCGATAAAACGAGAAATCCATCGTTTATTTATTAAGACGCGAAATTTTTCTTTTTTTTTTTTTTTTATTTATTTAAAAGTTCCAAAGAAGCCTATTATACTAAAAACACTGTACTCTCTAATCGATTCTAATCGAGGAAAAGGAAGAGAAAATAAAAGTTAGGAATCTGGTGAAATTTTTATTTAACCCGGCGGACCGATTACGATGCTTAGGGGGTCGCCATTTTTCCCGCGCTTCCGTTTGTAACGAAATTAACGGTGGTGGAGTAACTCTTCTCGGTTTCGACTTTAGCAGTGCCGCCCGCTCCAATGATCGATAACTGGACCAAGGATCGATGCAAATCTGCGACGCAGCTGTGCGCGAGCTGCGTGTTTCGCGAGAATACGCGTCACGGTGATTCGAGAGATACACGTGCACGCGTAAGAGCCCGGCCAAGTTTGGCCTCGGCCAGAGGAGAGGTTTCTGATAGGCGACCAGGAACAATGGAGAGGATTGTTTCTATTATTGCCTCCTCTTTCTTCGAACAGCAAATCGGGAGAGAGAGAGAGAGAGAGAGAGAGAGAGAGAATTTTAACTGCGCGGTGAACGAAGAGTATCGGCAACTTGGAGAATTTTCTTCCCTCGGAAGAAAATTGTTCGAGTTGTATTGTGATTGTAGAGGGAGCCACGTTCTTCTTCTGAAAATCGAATTAAAAACTTAATCGCCTAAAGCATCTAAGGATGAAGCTGGTGCGAAAAATTTTTATAATTTAACCCCTTGCTTTATTATCTTCTTCTTTTTCCCAAGCAAATTTAAGCAAATTCTCGATAACGACTGTTAATATATCGTGAAAAACTTTAAGGTTAAATGTTGCTGAAACGAATTTTATCGTGATAAATCTTCAAATCAAAATTCTGAATTTTTCTCGTTGCAAGGAATAATTATTCTCCCTCCCCCTTTTTACATTGAAATATAACAAAAAATATACATATTCCATTCGAGGAGAATGGATCGTCTCAGAGGAGAATGAAACAATTCCTTGGATTTCGATGGGTCGAAGGTCGTCGATTGCAAAACCCTTGCGTAGGGGAGAGAAGGGAGGTGAGCAGAAGAGAATAATTCGGGGTGCAGCTGCTTGGACAACCGCGCGAGTGTGTATCGAGTGTGAAAAGTGGCGCACGTGTGTGTAAAACCGCGGATGGGGAAGGGAAGATACCTTGCAAATATCGTGGTTATAGTTCGTGGCTTCCACTGGGTGGAGAACTCCACCTTTAAAGCGATCCACTTCGTTGACCCTCCAAAGTTTGAACCCTTTGATTGTTGGTCAAGGCTATCGGTGCTTACCTCTCTCTCTCTCTCTCGAGCCTCGAATAAAATTATTACACGGATTGGCGGAAGAAAAAAGAAGGAACGAGAGAACGAAGGAGAGAAGAAAATGAGGAAGAGAAGTTCGAATATCGTCATATTTTTTACGTAACGAAAAGAGGATGAACGAATAATTTTCGTTTGGATGGAAAGGCGTTTGCACGTGGAATTAATTCGAGAGACCATCTCCTTACATTTAACGATGGAAAGCAACGCGCAAATGCGGAAGAAGGAGCTTGGCCCGCGTTAACGTGATTACTCGTCGTCGAGATAAAACAAGAGTAATTCGTTTTAATCTCTTTCTCTTACGTCTCGAGATAACGGCGCGTCGAGATCCATGAAATGGTGTGACAATCATTTAACAGATGTAAAAGAGAAAATACGTAAAAGTGAAAAAAGTAATAATAATTAAAAGAAGGAGAAAGAGAGAGAGAGAGGAGACGATCTTCCCTTTTTCCTGCTATAAGATTCTTATCCCGTGAGAGCCCTCCAGCAAAGATTATCCCGCAATCGAAGCGAACTTAGGAGGAAAACGATCCTATTTTCCAAAGAAAATTCGAAATTTCGTATTGATTTTCGGATCGAAGATCGAACGTTTTCGTCCTCGACGAATTCGAAGAGAAAAGATTCTTGGAAATGTTTATACAATGGAGGAGGAACGAAGGAATTGAACGAATTAAAAATTTTCGACATCCGTGTTTTTATCCCCGAGCCACGCGATATAATCTTTAGTTTAACAGTCTGTTAATAAAATATCTTTATCTGTGAGACGAGAGCTTAAAAACTTTCTTCTTTTTGATCATATAAATAATATTCGAGACGGGACAAGTAAAATAAACCTAAGAATTTATTCTTAGAAATTTATCTAGCGTGAGAATTATTAGCTTATTCCATTGAAATAAGAAGAGGAAGAAGAAGAAGAAGAAGAGGGTTAAGTTATTCTTTCGAGAAACTGTATTCTCGAAGAGTTACTTATTATTAAACGGAAGAGGAAAAAAAGAAAAAAGGAAAAGATTAATTAAAGCTGTTAATTCGGGGTCACGATTCATTACGCGAGTATATCAGGGGATAACAGTGCGGCCGAATATTTCGTAAGCGTACCTCGTGCTTCATAAATATTGAACGAGCGCCGCTGCACACCACCCTCGAACAAGAATGTTCGTTTAAATAATGGATGTCCTCTCGAGAGCAGGCGAAAATCGAAGAAACGAGCCTCTCTCTCTCTCTCCTGCGAGAAGAGAATTTCCAAGGTGTCCCGCGTGATGAATGCGAATTCCTGCGCGTGTTACGAATTAAAGCGGCTGCTCCAGATCGATCCCTCTATCGAGAAATTATTGTCTCACGTCTCTTCTTTTTTCTTCGATCTGTGAAATGAAAAGTAAAGAGATCGATGTCCCCTCGAACGAAAAACGCGTCTGATCGTCGTCTTATTCCGCTCGCGCTGGAAAGAAAGAATCTCGAAACACGAAGAAACGAAGGATCGACGAGGATTTCGATGGGATTTCACGAATTCCGTTCGACGAAAACGGAGAGGAACAATCGGTAACGAGCGGCGAAGATAATCTTTCGAGCGCAATTTATTCGATGCGATACAAGTCTAGACTCGCAACACGGCCTGGCTGAAGGATATTTATTCGAGTGCTTTCTATTTTCATTGTCGA